AACTAGCTAAAGTTTTTATTCAAATCATGTCAGCTTTATGTGAAGAAAATGTATCAAAATCATTGTAATTGCTACTTAAGTGTTATTGTTTCTAAATATAATAATAGCCAGAAATTATTATAACCCTAAATATAGTTGTAGTTTCAATGATTGTGATACATTTTCTACGCTTCAAGTTGACATAATAAGGATAAAACCTAAACTATCTTTTCTATATTGTGCTACATAATTTGTTTGAATAAATTAACAGTTAAATGTCTATAATTATACTCCTATATTATTCAATTCTTTTCTTTTTTAATACCTTAAAAATAATATAACACTTTAGGATTATATTTAAAAAAGCTTTTGATTTTGCTAATTTATTTAATCTTGTTATATAAGTAACAATAAGTAAACAGTATTGTAACCGTTAATAAATGCTCAATTGTAATTGAACAAACAAGTGTAACTTACAAAAATACCATAAATAGATGTCATGTATGAATTCCATTGATATCTCTTGATAAAACCACTTATTTTATCCTTTAACATATATTGCCGTTCATAAATAAAATTTGGAATATTTTAATGTAAAGAATTGTTTATTCAGCAGCCAATAAACCTAATTTATAATATCGTTTACAATATTATCTTAATCGTAAAAATGTGTAATGTTTAATGAAAAACAATACCATTAAATTTATCCATCCTATTGGTCTTTTTTAAATTAAACATGATCAATTTAACTTGAGCTCTTTTCAGGAGAAATTAATAAAGTTTTGTTGTATCGTAAACAATGGAAGTTTTTAATAGGGCTCCATAACTTTTTACAGCTGCCTGTCCAATAAGGTCCTAAATAATGAGGAGATTAATTAAAAATAACTCGACGACGTTTTATGCATCTTCATTGTTCTACCTAGCTCCTTAAGTCATTCTACTTTCGCAATACCCGTTAACCTTAAAGATTACATAAAAATGTAATAAGTATGAAATATCCTTGTGGTTAATACTTCGTTAGTCATTTTTAAGAATTATACAAACTAATACAAACAATAGGTATTTATCTAAATCTTTGTATTCTGTCTATTTCAATAATATACAGTATATCTTATTTCGATATTTATCTATATCTTTATCATTAGTAAGAAAATCAGTCGACTCAGATCCTACATATATTTTACGACTTTGGATTAGTCCCTTTTTATTCAAATTGGGGAGCGAGCTTGTCTCTTTGTGGAGATTAGAGTTTTGGAGCCCGAGATCTTGGGTTCAAATCCCACCAATCATCACTGGATTTTATCCTATGTAACAATACCACGAGCCTATAGAACTAGCCTGAAGTAATAAGTAAAATATTTCCGGGATAGAACCTAGAGTCCTAGGATGCGAAGGTGGAATAAGTTCCTTTTCATTTCCACCCGACATTTGCTTTCAACTCCTACAAACAGGGTCAACTTACTGTTCCATCGGCGTAACCTCTTCTGGACAGTTTGGCCATTACAAACTTTCGCAATGTTGATCAATCGCAGAGGATTGGCTTAAAACCCCAAGTCAGGTCCATCTCAGGTCAGGTCTATCAAGTGGGAGCGTTACTTGCACGTATCAACATGTCATTACCCCAGCAGATATCGGTCAGGCTGATAATGTTGATGACCCGCCCTAAGTCTCTCGTCAACCAAATCAAGTTGCACCGACCTCCCGTCCACACAGAGCAAGTATCTATGTGCAATGCCCCAAACAGATTGAGCCATCAATTAATTCCGCGTAGACGTATCTTTATTGATATTTAACCTATAAAATATTACTGAATGATTAAGTAAAATATTTTTTAATAATATAACGCACGGAAAGCATAATATAAACATTTTCTACGGACAAATTTATATGCCAGAATGGTGTTTATTACAAATATCTAACTTGAAGTAACTTAGATGTACACAGCAATATATTCACTTTTGACATGTATATTAGAAGGCAGAATCTTGAGTGTACACACCCCTCCTTCATAAATTTATTTTCTCCTCATATTCCCTCTCGTGTAAAATATGTTAGTGACGTGTATATTTCATTTCCAGCCCACGCCAATGCAGTTGTTCGCCGGTGGAAATGTTTTTTATTTTTTATACTTTTTTATTTAGAAGAATGTTTTATGACATGCTTTAAGATTGTTGTAGTATTTAAAATGTTTAGAGTTGATATTTGAAATTTTTCATGAAATTATCACGAACGTTGTACAAAATGAATATTAGAAGTTGAAGTAGCAAATAGAAAGCAGTTTGCGGAAGTTGCGTCTCAAGGGATAATTTTCATGAGGATGAATCAAATACTATTCTGGATAATATTATGAATAGAAATTGCTCGTTTAGTTCAATTTGGGTTGTCGAATATTTAAGTAAAATAATTGTTGGGTGCAATAGTAAAATCTTATACATCTACGATATAACCTTTCTTAAATATTAATCCCCAACTTTGCTAAAAGGTTTGTTGGCTTAGCCTAAAAATCAGTTGGCATCCAACACAAGTGACCAACTCACTCTGTGACTACTGCTTGTGTTTGTAATTAATTTTTTTCATGGATATGGTACATAATACAAATTGTGGTAAATGTAATAATGCGGTTTTGTTAACATATTTAACTCTTTAAAACTTGCAATTATACAACCCATAAGTCATAAAAATTTCCTAATCATGATTTTAATGTGTTTAATATTTTTTTCTAAAAACATTTTTGTAGTTAGATGTTTTTTATTCCCTTCAATTACTACAACTATTCATAAATGTCAACCTTCCGCCAAACGACTGTTTTTATCGAGACATGATCTTAGAAATTGTGCTTGCTACTGAGCCAATTTGTTATTGTTACCCTTTAATTATATCGTTTTTTCGACCTTCGTATTATTACTGTATCTTGTTTGCCTCCTTTCTTAGGATTAACTATTCATTTAAGTTAAATGTTTCTTGAATCAAAGTAAATGGTTTATTATTACTTTTAAAATCATATATTTCGTAACGTTCTTTTGTTTTCTTTACAAACTCGTTCTATGATTTTATCGTGATATTCTTAGCCATTGTTTGTATTTTTAGAGTAAATATTTTTGTTGATATCCATTTTAATACATGATACCGTGATACAATTTTAGTGCCATGATAACAGTTCATAAACTGCATTTTTAGCTTTTGACATAGTGTTTAATAAAGCCTAATAGGACGGATTTATTAACAAAATATTATACAGTTAATATTTGGTGTAAGGTGTCTTCATCATGTTTTTAATAATATTGCGATGAAATGTGTTTATGATTTTAAATCAATAAGTTCTACTTGACTTTTTTCTTAGATATCTACGCGTTCTCTTTCCTATGGACTAGTTTATTTCCAATTTGTCGTCCTAAATAGATTTGAAAGTGGTAAACAATCAGTGATGTTTTGATCAACAAATTTTGTTTACTAAAATATTAGTAAATTTGCCCAATTCTATTCAATAATTTACCTAACAAAAATAAAATAGATATTCCCTTGTGTATTTATCAGGCTAAAAGGTGTCAATGTAGATATTATTTTATAATAAAAATCAATAAATGATGTTTAAGTCGACAATTTGACATTTCAATGTAAACATTCAAGGAACATGTCTAATGCGTTCTGTAGTTTTAGTTTTATATAGAGTATTAATGTACTAAAAGAAGTAATAATGTCAGAGACTCAGTCAGTATCACGACGGACTATAACCAATGTCAATGTCTTGGGTTCGCTCCCGGAGGCCGCAACTTAAAATTTGTTCACTCTTGTACTATACATATACACTGCCAATTGAGGGTAGCAAAATAAGACTGCCAACATTTAAAAATAATATTATATTTTATGATCTATTTTTTTTTTTTATAAATCGCCGTTAATAATGTTTATTATTAGTTTATTTATTTGAACTACAGGAAGAGGGAAGTCGTGTAATTATCAAACTACCAATTCAAACACCACTTGTAAACTATAAGTTGGTTACTGGACATTGATCTATTGAATATCAAACAATGAACAACTTTACATCGAAGGGATGGTTCAATACGGGTAAGAGGGGTAACAACATCCATAAACATCAAATGATAATAAAAGCTGCTCAAAGCAGTAAGGGAGGGAACTGCTAGAGGGAGGAAGTCGTTTGATGAATGTTTCATTTATTATCTTCTTCTTTGTTCTTTTTTCGCGTGTAACTACAAAAAGTGTAATTTGTTTGTCATTATCGTTAGCCGGAGTCGTTGTCACTAACGACAGTGGTTCTGGAGGTCGAGAATTGTTGATTGCAGGTGGGCACTTTCTATGTGTCTTGTATCAATTAGTGATGAAATTGGTATAAGAATTTATTAGTAATCTGGTTGTTGGTTAGCTAACTTTTTGTAACACAACATTGTTGGTATTATGTAAGATATTAGCTACATAGGGATGTAAAGATATCTTTTTCGATGCCTTGTAGTATTTTTTGTCTCCCTAGGAAGTAGGCTATTACCACCCACGGTCCTCACGGCTAAAATCTAGTTGTGGTACCACTGTACTGTTTATCTTTATTATCTTATTCATTTTTATTTTGTCTACAATTATTCATTTGGTTTATTTAGCTTAACCATGATTCCTAAAAATCACTAACTAATTACCTCTATGAGACGCATGTTCCCTCATGCATTTTATACTTCAAACCTTCAATTTACTATTATTATTATTAATGATGATTTCTTAGACAATCTATGCTTCTATTGTTACATTATCGTCATAATTAATCTGGGTATGACTATAGTGAAACAACAGAAGAATTAATAAATTACATTATGAAAAAAAATCCCACCTGCACATCCGATCTAGTTGTAAAATAGGTTCGGCCGAACATTTTACCTTGAAAATAACTTACTTATTTTAACCCTACCTGCAAATATTTTGAGATATCCCACACTATTTAATTTGTCCTTTCCTACCTTTTTATTCACTTTCAAAGGTTGTCTGTGCTGATAAGCTATCTTGTATTGTTGCAGCCGACACGGGTTGCCGGTTCCCCACAAGATGGACGGGGACGTGGTTCCAGTCCGGGATCAGGCAGCCAATCACAATACAAGACGCTAGACTCAGTACAAAGGGTCGATGCCTGTTCTCGGACGGCGACAAGTTCCTATTAGTAGACGAGTGAGTATGATTTATTCTAAAAACTGATATGCAAATAAGCGTGTTTAGCCAAATCATGTAAATGAATAACAACAGTAAAATTAAGTGACATGCCTCGAATAACTTTGTTGCAAGTATGTACCAAATTGTTCATTAGAAATCATTTACCAAGAACCTAATGATCAAAGACAACTGGTCGAGTTCAAAAATATCAAAATGAAATAGGTACTTAAATATAGTTATGATTATTTGCATTTAAAAATGTAGGCTAGTAAATTATAATCATCGTACTTTCTCAATTGGGATTGACTTGCTACGAGATTAATATCATAGTGTAGTAAAATTTGTAAAACACAGCATTTATTGTTGCGATGTGTTAGGAAATAGTTTCGACTATTTGTTGATCCAGACAATCTATAACGATTAGGACTGGTGCTATGCATAAGTTGAATAAGTTTAAACCAAGCATCGACTAAAATTAATTCATTGTTTCTTAAACATCTATTTATAACTTTTAAATTTTTTAAATGTGTTGAATATACTTAAAAAATTCACAAGGAATTTGTTGTGGGATTATTTGAGTGCTATTATCGTTGGATAAAATAAATTTAGGGAAATTCAGCACCAAAACGGAAATCATGGCAATAAGGTTACGATTTTAAATTTCTAACTAGTTTGCAGAAAGTTAAAGTTAAAAGTCGACAAGCATAACAAAAACATTGTGTCTTTCCTGTGATCTGCAATGTAAAAAGGTATCCATACGATATACAGGTTTCATGGTGTGTATAAATGTATCGTAATATATAAAAACATAATACACTGATAGTAAAGTTTGGAACAAATATCGGTGACGATTTATGCAAACAATTGTTATAAAACCCTACTAAATATGAACAAACTGTTATTAAAAATGCTTTCCAATCGATCATTACGGTAAAAGCCTTTACGCTGCCGTTTGCCGGCAACGTCCAAAGTATCAAACGCTTTATCAGATAACGGCTGTGATACCATTTATGCTTCTCTTTATGTAGTCATCAACGTTCCGGTTGGTCAACAATCCGCTAAAAGCCTGTTGTTTAACGGACAACTGATTCTCTCCGTTTTATAAAACTACTTTTCAAACTTCTGCACATGATCGAAAGTTGTAATAAATTGTTCCAAATAATAGTTATGGACTGCGTTTTTTTTTTTTTTTTTTTTTTTTTTTTTACCTCCAAGTATTGCTGGAATGATTTCGATGATTTGTCATTATTCATTACAGACGTACATAGTGCCTGTGCGCAAAATTCAAATTCAAACGTAAATTACTATAACCCAATAAAATATGTTCATTTCCATAGCACAATGTATTGTAAAAGCATAAGTAAATGCTTTGCATATTTATATTGTTATTTTACAAAAGTAACATTGTATGCCTACTATTGCTATCGTTCTGTTACTCTATGTTATTTGTTGATTGCTTGTAGTAGTTGTTAATGAGTGTTTCGTGTAAAAACCTAATCTTTCAACGGCTCAGTAAATAAAAAAAAACGAAATAGCCTTTTGTCGATTTTTTTGGAGCGACAAAAGCTGTGTAATTTTTAAATCGTTATAAAATCTATCCTTTTCAGGTAAATAATTTAAATGCATTTTTAATATTGTAGTTACGATTGTATATTTAATTGAAATTTGAGGCTAAATTTTTAACTCTATTGAAATGTTTTTTTTTTTCAGCAAGAACATTTGCTACCGATGTGTGGTGATCCACGAAAAGCATATAAACGTTCTACAGTACAAAGAAAGTAAGTCACCTCCTTACATAATTTTAGGTAGGTTAACACTTTGGGTAAAATCTTCAGCTATGAAATACAGTATATGTCTGTAATTACGTCAAATATACGAATATGTTTCGCACTACAGTAATGAATGAATAAACCAAAACAACGTTTTGTTGTTTAATAATCATTTAATTAACTAGTTTATACTTTGTTTATCAAACTTTATTCAAATAAAGTTTAAAAATTCGCTCGTACTTGTTAGTATGTTAGTCTATTTGTTTATTTCTTGGATTCTCAATTATTTATTTATTCCATAAATATGACATAACATAAATATATACTGTAAAAATAAATAGAGTAATAGCTCCAAAGGGCCCTTACAGTTTATATGACTTCAAGCGAATCAAACCAAGGAAGTTAAGTCCGCAACTGGCCTTCAATCAATCTTGTGATTGGAAATCCGACATAGCTTTTGACAAAATAACGCTTTACTCCCTTGCGAAATTGATTGGAAAACTTTGTTACAAATGTGATTGGATTCTTACAGTAAGTTTGTTGTGCTAATTTATTTAATCCTTGTTAAGCTCTAGTATAGTAGCTGTGTTTCTGTGTGGTGTATTATTTATTATTTGTTAGTTACAGGTGTGAGCTAATTAATTTGCAAAACTTCAAATTTCTAAAGATAATTTAAATACACTTTAAATATGCATTTTAACGAGTTTTTTTTTTTTTTAATAGTACAACCGGGTTTTTTATAACTTCAATGACAAGACCTTACTATAGCATTTCACTAATGATAGCATAGTGTAATTTTCAAACCCTTAATTTATCCCCCCTAATCATATGTACGAACTTCGATAAGAAGTACACCACAATAACAAGGTTTATTAGATATTACCCACGAGAAACTGTTGTTGGTACATAAGCAAAGTTATTGTTTTATTATATAAAAATAACAGTAGGCCAACAAAATTTAATTTTAACCTTTAGCCTCTTATGTTTACCTTCTAACACGTTCTATAAGAGATTATACGATACGTTATAGTGCATGGTATTTAGTTTCAGACTGACAAATATATTTGTTTAAGATTTATTATCCTCCCACTAATCTCAGTGTGTGTATTTCCCTTCAGCCTACTGTATGCCACGAGACAGTCTGCAGACCCTGTGCTCTCTGATCACCGGGGACGCCCTGTTATACTCCATGTTCCGTGAGGCGGCCACCTCGGTGCCTTGCCCGTTCAGGGGAGGACACACGTTCACCTACAACCGAGGACATGGCGAGTGTCGTTATCCTGTCAGCAGCATTGACTCCTGCACCCAGGACTCTCGACTGCTCCTCAGATATCAGGCGTGTCCTGACGTCCACGGCACTGAGAGCACGGGTAAATTACCTATTTATTTGTGTTTAATTTTGAAGATGTCTGGGTGTTGTTACATGTTTACACGACTTTGCTCACTTGTAAGCTCGCAGTCCTCGTGGATCAGTTTGTGATAGTTTTAATACATATTTCTGCCCGGTGAATAAATATTTATGTTGACGATAACAACCTATACATTTCTTGTATCATTCAAAACTTTAATTTTGTTCAGCAAAATGAAAAATTGTTATAGATAAACGTTGTAGTATGATTACTACAAATTAGAGCACTGGTATATTTGTAATGTAGTATGGCTAAAACAATCGTCATCAGCATCCTCATGCGTTGAGGACATTGAAAGTCAATGGTTTTAATCATGATTTATACACAAATAGGTATGTATGAAGCAGTTGATGCGTGGAGAATAAAAGTGACGAATGGAAGAGATGATAACCTTTTTTATTAAATTAGGTCGTCTGGATTATTGTACAAAATTCAATAAACATTCACCCTCAGCAGCTAGGTGACATATTCGGACATTTGCTTAACATCTATTGAGCGTATACACTTCCGCTGATACTTCAATTCAGTTTCTCACTTTCTATCTACGCACACACAAAGTTTGTATTCTTTCCTTTCGCCTGTCTACTGAACTTTCAAATTAACATATCAACAATCAAATAACCTTAGAAAATTAATTTTGAATAATTGCATGCACTTTGAGTTCAACTTTTATTACTATCACTACTTGCATTTGTTTAATTCTGCATTCCCTCTGCAGTGGAAGAGCTGGAGTGCCTCGCCACCTGGAAGGAGGGCTCGTCCCGCTACCTGGTGGGGAAGGTGGTTCCTCTACATCATACACACTCCACCTCCAATGAGGACAGCTACAGGTGTTTTGTCTACGAGAAGATGTCGGGCCAAGGTCAATCTGCCATGCAGCTGTATGGTGAGGATCCTGAGTTCCCGAGGCCAAAGGCTGACGATGTCGAGTACAGGTTAGTGTTTTATTTTATTTGGGTTTCATTTTAGTTTAATAATTGTAATAAACTTAGAAAATGTATAAACCTTAATGAACGGTATCAGTAATGTGTAACACACATTTTTTCCCGTTGTCTTGTCAAAAACCTCTATCATAGGTATGGTGGGAGTGAGGAAATCACAAAAGTTGCAATAACTGTTAAACCGTAATTTTTACAGCAATGGATGTTACACCATTCTGTTTAGAACCATAAGGACCATAGCTTTCGAAATTTTATTAAAATCAGCCAAGCCGTTTTTTACCATCCCATTTTTGTGGGAAAATCACCAATAAAAACCAGAATAAAATACACTTGGATATAACTTACTATTTATTAGTACACACATTCCAAATTGAATCTTAGTCGTACGAGGTGTTGTATGTAGCTTTGTCTACATATGAACATACACATAGACATCACGTCGAAAGCCACTATTTTCGGGGATCCAAACCGAATACATCCGTCGGAATATGTCCGTGTTTGTACATTCAGTCAGTTATTCTGTAAAGATTCGGATAAATTCTTCATGAGGAGAGCCTCTCAGGATCATAAAGGTTGGGCCAAAGATGTATGTTGAAATTTCATCATTTGTATAATTTGTCTAAGAATAGCAACAACAAACTTTGTAAATAATATATCTTTGCTTATTAGGAAATTAGCTTATAAATGGGGAAAATTATTTAGTTATCAATTATTTATCTTTTATTATGTTTACAAATGGCTTTGTTGCTTCCTCACGACAGACAGCATTATCTAAAATTGAATTTTAGGTGCCCCAATCGTTACGCATTAGCACATTATAAAGCTAATGCTATTTGACTATTTTTACAGTTAATTTTTCACTTAAACGTAAAATACTCTCTTTGATTATGAAAGACACTGAACATTGTAAAAAGCAATAAAGGAAAGGGAAGAAGTATAAAGTATTGTGTTTATTGGCAGTAAAAGCCACTGGTATTAAGGCAAGCAATATTACTTCGATCCATAATACCACACACTTAGGGGTTTTATTGCAGCTATTAAGAGGTTTTTATTGGAAGCCATATTGATTCGTGGGTGTTTCTTTATTATAATTCCCTCAATATCAAGTACTTAGTTTGTGTTTTAAAGGAAAATAACCCGTCATCCAGTTTATCTATTTTAAAATCAACGTAACGAAGATTTTACATAATTCATTTTGCTGACCTAAAGTTAGGAAGGTCTTTTAATGCTATCCAAAAAGAAATCAAAACAGTATCATGAACTAAATTGGATTGTAAAATTGTATTTAAAATTGATTGTTAACATAGCTAGAACTAGTTAATTACCGACAAATTACTTTCCCTGCAAATTAAATGGAAGACGTTAAAATGTTTCGTTGGAAGTCAGTACATCCTTTTAAACGAGTAAGAATTAATGGATCATTTTAAGATAAAGAGATTGCGTTCTTATGTATTGTAGTGTCTGTTAGTTGTTTTATAGCTGATTGATGTGTTACATACTACGTTTGCACTATTTTTTTACATTTAAATATTTTTCAGAGTTGCTCAGTCTGGAGACGCCACATGTAATGGACTCTTCAGCCCCATGGAAGGGTCAAGAACAATGACTTTGAAAAAAGGTAAGTTTAAACACAATATTAATACAAAAAATATTTGTTTACAGCCTTTCTTTACCCTGTATAACATACGTAAAACTAAATTATGTCCAGCTGCTATGTATATCATAGTTTTAGCTTTTGACAAAAAATCTAAGAATAACAGGTTTGCATTATTGTTATTAACAGTCTTGATACCTTGTATTATATATTGCTAATACATATGTAACTTACTAGTTGTAGCCTAATTTTGTTGCTAAATGTTTTGTAAATTCTTATTCATAAATTTTGATGTTAGTATATGTTAAGTGCTAACCAAGGATTTTGATTCACTAGTCACACTTATTAGCCTCAGAACAGTCACTTATTTATAAAGTAAAACAATAACCGTACACATACTCGATTGGAGCATCGAGCATCAATAATGGTTTAAATTGATCTACATTGTAACGCGTTATTTTATGTTATTCACCATATTATGTATGTATGCTGTATGTGTAGGTCAATAAAAAGCTTCATAAGAAGCTGTCTATTGTATTTTCTTATATTTTATGGGATTCCAAAGAGGACTTTAATCTTTTTAATGGTGAAGTAATAGATATATGTTGAAACATTCCATATTTTCCAGTGACTGCGAGTCAGAAGTGCAAGTTCCCCATGTGGTTGACCCAGCATCACCAATGGTACACTCTGGACTACCGCAGTTCCTACAAGTTCCACCATCGCAACACGACACTCCACATATCCAACACCAGTCTGGGGTCTCTGCCCAGCGAGGGGCCTGTGGTGCAGCAGCAGCTGTCTGCCTACGACAAGGAGCAGGAGGTTGGTGGTGGAAAATGTCAGAGAAAATCTCACATTGAATCAAGGGTTAAATAAGACCAGGATTTGTGAATATATTCAACAATTTGTGGTTAGCAACACAATAAAGCTCTGTTTTTATAACTCAGTTGGTTAGTATGTGTGAAAAATATTGGAGGTGTCAAAACACTAAGCTGGAATAGCTAGATATCAGCAGTGCAGTGGCAAGCAGAGGGAAGGCATTGGTAATTTTATGGCCTTGAACAAACTCAGTGTTTTGATAACAATCGGTAGGACAGTAAATAAGTTCTGTTTGTTTCTAAACACTTAAGATGAAATAATGATACACGAGGAGATGAATGGGAAAAATTATGAAGTGTATTTGTGAATTTTTTATGTATCCAAGCAATACAATCAAACTATTTTCCCAAATAAGATAGGTTTTGATAGTCAGTAGGTTAGTCAGCAAACAAATTTCTGATGTAAGGAGTAATAAAATGGGAGAAGGAAATAGCAAGCATAATGCATGCCTGGAAAATTGTCAAACTATGATTCTTCACAAAAGGCCATTATGTCAGTTAAGTGGAAACTGTCGGTTATTATAAGCTTTGAAGTATTGATGAATATACAACAAATTTACTACAAATGTACAGGTACCTAAATGCAAATAGTTTTGTTATTTGGTAAAACAAAACCCACAGTAATCCCCATGTTTTATTCCATGGACATTTTTCAAACATGCAAGCAAATAATGCCTTTATAGGCTTTTGCCTTTAAATTGTTTATATTTTTTTAATGAGCATCTTTTATAAATTACTTTTTGTTATATAATAAACATTCCATCCATTTTTTAAACCTAAACAAAATGTGTTATATGTCAATCACACACCTGCTAATTTCTATAATATTCCAAATGAAATATTCTTAAAATATATAAGTAATAAAAGGTGAGTACAGTATTGACTATTCTTAAGGATAAGGATAACTGACCCATTACTAAGGTAACAGGAAGATGAAGTTTACAAAGTATACAATGTTGTGTTAATAAGGTAATTGGTAACGGGTTTGATTAATTGGTTGCCCAAGGGTGTTTTGATATTCCGCTAAGGATATTATGATTTTGCAGTTAAAGTGCACATCCCTGGCATATTGTCCTTCCTTTTAACTGTATTAATTAGATAAACACTGTTTAGACATCAATGAAAACACATGTAATGCATTAATTTCAACCATAACGTATTACAGTATGTCTTCACTATCACTGTACTGACTTTTTATAACTGACCAATTCGAATGTTATTGTTTATTGCAGATTTAATTATAGTGTACGAAACGTATGTTAAATATTCATTTTATTTTTAGGTTCGAGTTGTGTGTTCAGAGATTCTCCAAGCCAACAGTGAAGTGGCTTATATTATCACCCACTACACTGTAGGATGGTAGGTTTTGTATACGGTTTTACCTACTTGTATCTACTTAAACAGATTAAACCTTGCACCAGTTAAATTATAATTGTTTATATGATTATACTAACATTTTGAACTCTATATTTCAATAGACCTATTGAAAAGTTGTTAACATTTTTATCCTTGCCTACTAAATTCAAATAAATGAGCTAATGGAGCTTCAAAATTTAAGTAATCAGTATTAATAAAATGTTACATATACGGAATAGTTTTCATGTTTTTACTTATTGCGTCTATTTTTTATGAATTGTGTACAATTTTTAAACTTGTAATCTCAGAACTAAATTATTTGTTTATTATTTTTACTAATTTATTGAAAATTATAAAAAAATCTGAATTCACACAAACTATTTACCGGTACTAAACATTTTCAATTTGTTTCAGCCAAAACGGCTACATGTGTATGATGTTCCACAAAAGAGACGCCCACATCATCGAGGTCCAGTCAGGTATTGAAAACAGATTAATATTATAAAATGTTACAGCATATATGAAGGTAAAGGTTTTAAAAAAATTGATGGGATTTTTAAATAGTTTAGAAACATCACTACCAGCGAGCACATAATAAACATCACAACTATCCCCTCTCCTTGATTATCACATCGTCGAGAATTTCTTTTTAATTTACTAAAACCCATCTAGAATGAATCGATAAATGCAATTTTGAAATATTTGAGCAAAATATTATCCATCCAATTTCCTGGTATTAGCCTCATAGATTTGCTTCAATTTACTAAAAGCTTTATCCAAATACTTTAAAGAAAGAATATATACTGTACTACTCATATAGCAGTTTAACTCTTAACATATTTTAGATACGTAAATACAGTTATTTCAGTTTAAAAGCAAACGCAGTCAACATATATTATAGTGGTTTGTTTTGGCTTTCTAACCTAACTATAGTTTTAACAGAATACAAATTTTCTAGTGAAAACCATACAGATTTTTGTGTGCTTAAGGTGAGCTAATCAAATTGACCAAACTTTAAGTATGCATAAATACATTTGTGAAATAATGCAAACTTAATGTAGGTGTCTGTATTTAAGTCATGTATTTTATTATATATTACATTTCAGGAGGGTTTACACGAAGGCCTGAAGACGCGTGCAACTCTGGTTATTTTGACAGGAACACTATTCCGTTCATTACTTTAGTCAGTGAGTATTTTTATTAACTGATTTGTTACCAAGGTTTGTATTACTATGTTCATTTAGTATTTGCTGTTATAAGACATTAATTTGAAAAAAAATATAAGTATACAATATATTTTTAAAAATAACACTATTTTCTAGACTCTTTTACATTTAAAACCAAGTATGATTTGATTAATTGATTGATTTATTGAAGTATGATTTGACTTTGTAAATTGCATAACATTTGAGAGGAAAAATTGGTAGTTTTTAAAATTGCAATGATGTATTAGAGATTATATATTTCTTCAGTTATTAAATTGTAGTGCTATGTATTTTGTTGTTAACAGAAGTGTTGGGTTCAAAATTGAAAAAAATATGATTTTCGTTTAAAGAAACCATACAATACTATTTGAATTGGGTTTTAACAGCAAAATTAGAGAAAGTCTGATACACTCGCTGAAATAATCCTATTTTAAACTAAGAACAAGAATTTTACTAATCAGACTATGTGTTTCTTGACTTAGAAAAATTTGCAAAATTAAATTAGTATCACGAATAACAGGCATCATTCAAGGCGTACGGTTCCTTAAAAGTAACAAAATAAATAAAATACACATTTATACATGTTATGTGTTGTGTATATTTATATATGTTTCTATATTGGTTTTAACTGTAAATTATCATAACATATTATTCAAACAAACTTAGATTAATATTTTCAATACCTGACATCTTTTAAAATCACTATAAGTTTAGCACTATTATTTGTACAAAATATAACCATAAATACAACTCCACTTTATTATTTTAGAATTTTTAACAATAGTATGCTATTTCTCTAATTACAAATTCTATAATAATATGAAACTACCCATGATAAAACCTCTGGAATTCATGCCCCCCCTAACAGTTTGCGAAAAATAAGTTTAAAATCACGGATCAATTTATTTAAATTCATTAGTAACAGTGTCATACAGTGTACATATTCGTTTGGATAAAAACAATAACCTCTTATATTCCTAGCCTTCAGGCTACATAAATTTACTTTGGACTATTAAAAAGATCCATTAAATAATTTAAAAGAGAAATGTGTCGACTGCTTGAATAGTAAAATTTTTAACCCTCAAATTATAAATAGTATTTTTGGCATCTGTTAATTTTTTTCCTTAATTTCCAGCTGAAAACCCAGAAACCAAAAAATGCCCCCACTTTGGCCGGTTCTCAGTGAATGGGGTGAGCAGAAGAGAGCGACACACGAGGTCCCACTCTCGGGACACAGCGGTAAACATATCACGTCATCAGGGGTACAGTGCGGTAAAGTGGTTAACAACCACCGAGGGACAAACTGACATTCAGGACTTGTACAACAGAAGACTCAGGCTAAAACGAAACCTGAAACAAACCAAGGTGGAAAAGCCCTTTCAATCTAAAAATAGGAACTATGACATAATAGGGCGCCATCTCAAAAGAACCCACAAAAGACCAAGGAGAGATTTGGAGCCCTATTCCCAAACAAAAGCTTGTTCCTTGGACTTCAAGACTCTGATGGTTGGCTGTGCATCCTCTGACACAATGGAGTTTCGATCAGAATGCTCTTCCCCAGACAACAATATGGTGTCAGGTATGGAGATTTTGTTTTTACAGTTTAAGTTAAGATTATAAAGTTCCGGGTTAAATTACACTGAATTTAACAGTTGTCTGTTCATTACAATTTGTACTTGGAGAGAATATATGGTTTATCATCCCAAGAATGGTAGCTATATATCCAATTGTCATGAAAATTCTCACTAAATCTAATTTCAAATTTCTATAATATTTTTTAACATGTTACTTTTGAACACATATTATTGTTAGATGTTCTAATTTTGAATGCATTCTTCAAATTCTTAAATATGTAAATTTATATTCGTTTTGATAAACTTCAAGTAGAAATGAAATAGAACAAATCCAATGTAAAATTAAACCGTAGAAATACTAGCATTTTTATATTTGCATAGGAAGGTTTCCCCTAACATTTCTCACAGTATTATAAACCACTTTCTTTCTCTTGCCCTCCCTGTATCTTATTATGTTTTACCAAGTTGACAATTCTACCTCCTGCTCCTCAGCCTACTCCTGCCACGGAGGATGGTCTGACAACTCCACTGCTACTCACTACCTCATCACCACCCCGCTGTCAAGGAGCTCGCGAGGGGCCAAGCGCTACTGCTTCGTCTACCAGAGCCAAGCTGACAATGTAGTCATGTTCTCGACCAGCGCTGATACTTGCAGGCGAGACATAGTCCCTGGATCCACCGGAGTGTTGGCATTCAACATTACTAGTGAAGGTGAAATCTCCAGCATAAACTAAATATTTTTCAAATCAAATCTTGTTATGTTTATTAATATTCTTTATGTGCCAACTGTTCATTTCTATACATTGACTACTTGGCACATGTGATGATCTAAGGAGAAATTGAGTTACAGACACGGTGTTTGATTTAGATATTTAAAAGCTGTTGTAACTTTTTAACTTGTTTTGAAAGGAAAGATTTTTTTTTTAATCAAACGGAAACACTTAGATGTATACCTAAAAATTACTATGGGGTCTATGTCTTATGGGCGAATCAGTAGTGACTGCAAAGATTTGAAGGTGGCTAGTCTGCAATGTCCAGATTATCAACCTTAGATGCAGCCCCTGAACTAAATACAGTCATATAAATGTTTGGAAACCCAATATATTTTTTAATATCAACAGGATAATAACTAACTAAGGAAAAGTTAAATATTGATCTTTTACAAATGTGGATTCCTCTTTTGCAATAAAAAAAATTATGTATATAACATTTGATTATAAAAGGTTGTTACCTGGATCTGCCAGAGTAATCCAAAGGCTGTCTGTCGACTACGCATTTCAAAGCAATAATAGCTTCATCATCAGGTATTCAAGAACACGTTTCACTCATCAGAGGTCGTCAAATAAATATAGTTTTAAGGAAGAAAACATTTGAATTTTATTATGTACTAGCAGAGTACCCGTCCTTCGTACGGGGTTGGCATATAAGTATCAAATGCTTATAGCAGTTATGAGTGAGGACATGGTTTAAGAAATGTCGGTTCTTTTTGAAGTTCGTTCGCTACGCTCACTCACCTTTAGGTTGGAGCTCGTTCGCTGCGCTCACTTTCCTTCAGGTTAGCTCGTTCGCTACGCTCACTTGCCTTCAGGTTAGCTCGTTCGCTACGCTCACTCGCCTCCAGGTTGAAGTTCGTTCGCTACGCTCACTCACCTTTTGGTTGCAAATTAGCTGTTGTCATAAATGTAAAAGAAATAATAGTGCTAGTGCTGCACCCTGTTGGTAATCCTTGTAACTTTAATGCTATTCAACATCACAGAACAGAACCAACTTGTTTAATTGAAACAGCTGTTAAGATTCAATAATTTCATTTCTCATAAGGTTAACATGGGAAACTCCAGAGCCACTGGGGCGGAGCCCGAAAGGATTTTTGGGATAAAAATATGCCTATATGTTAATCGGGAATGTGAGCTATCATCATGCCAAATTTCAGCCCGATCCGACCAGTAGTTTTCGCGTTTACTTTTCCCATACACACACACAGACACCACCTCTTTTTTATAATAGTATAGATAGATTTACCCTTTTTAACGACTGTGATAACTCATTCACTTTGTCGAAGGAGCAGCTCATTTAGTCATGAGTTAAAGTATACACCAAAAAACTTAATAACACATTTTTTTTATTCCAGGACAATGCCAGGAGCTAAACACAGCGTCTAGCCTGCACCACTCCCCCTACTTCTGCATGCTGCTGCTCTCAGTGGTGTTTTGCCTAGTAAGACCAGAGAGGTGATTTTAATCAGGACTTAACCTAGCAAAGTAGTTAGCCAATAAAGTGGTTACACCACTCAGAGTTAGCCGGTTTCCTTCCGTCAGCATCTGATGAATTGGTTACTCTACTCTTTAGTTTGTTTCCAATCGTGATAAATGCGGTGTCTTTATATATAAATGAACATATTGTACATAGTTTCTAAGGTAAAGTTTTTATAGCTTTTAAACGTAATCAGATTAGGGAGAAAGTGGATAGGTGGACCTCGAGAGTGTTAAGGTAAATATTTTGTTATTTTTTTGGTTAATTATCTATGAAGACATGATATTTTAACACGTCATATATATTTTAGTGTACAGATAAAAATTTTAATATATATATGTCTAAGTTTGTTGTTTTGTTTTTTCTGTGATACAATAAAGTAAACTCGGTTATTTATTTCCTATTTCTAATAGAATGAACTTTATCCACATAAAATCTTTTATATTAGATTAAAATTCAATTTTCTAATACTAAATGACTTGTAAATCATAAAAAAAATAATAAACTATTACACACTTTTTTAACAAACAAAATTTATTATATATTGGCTTAAGACTTCTTCAGGAGCAAAAAACAAAACAAATAATAGACTTTGAATAGTTTATTATTTTTATAACGATACAGCCATTTGGTTCTATGAAGAAACTATGACTTGTAAAACATTTGTTTATAGTTTTCAAGGTGTTAAAATTTTATGTGCCAGCAATTATTCTTTTGATCACCCGAATATTTGCTAATATTGATACTATTATTTTATTATTCAGTGAAACTGCTTGTAAACATTTGTTTCATCACTATGTAATCAACTGATATTTTTTGGGCCACAAGATTGATATTTTCAGCAAATGTTATGGTTTAGTGTTCTTTCTCTGTTGTTGAGTAGATTTTTTAGTAAGAATATTGGTACTTACGGTAAAATGTTTAAATTGAATAAGCATTAAAGTGGCCATTAAATTATTTATTTGTTCAATATGTGTTCTTAATTTTTTTTTTTACGTTTTTAAGTCAGCTGTATTGTTATTACCAGGGGTTTTGCTATGAAACAAAGCCAACCACAATCTTCTTGTGGCTCAACATTTTACTTTTTAATCTGCGTTAAGTATGTGTGATTTATTTTTTTTATCCTTACAACTTATAGAATTAAACAGTTAAATCTTGCTTTAGAGAGACTACTTTGTCAGTGGTAATCGTAAAAATGATCTGTGATAGGTAGTAGTGGCTCATAGTGCACTGGATATACAAATTGTGCAGTGGACTTGGTACAATAGTAACATGTTAAGTGTTGTGTTATTTAAAAACATTTGCTATGGGAATATTTGTTGTTGTGGTTGTTTATGCAGTTACTTACAACTATGTTTCCAGTGTTTTCTTAAAAGTAAGAATTTCTTGTGAAAGCATAGTTCTTTTCAAGTCTATTTTCAGCCGCTGCTTAATATATTTAAGAATCAAATTGTTTTTTTATTGTTTGTCACAAGAAAAAATGGAAACAACCTAAGCAGCAAATATAACCCAAAATGCATAATGTAACTTTGTTATAAGTCTCATAAGCAATGTACAAAGTGATTTAAAAGTAAAACATTTACAAAAGAATGCCTCTTACTATATTTGATGCGTCGAGCTGTATGTTCTACTAAAGGTGCCTTGAATGTAACGTATTGTACGAACGGTTGGTGGTTTAATATTATGTGAGGGTGTTATTATAGTATTTAGTTAAAACTGTTTTGAAATCTGATTTCTCTCTTGGATTGTTTGTCAGACATTGTCTATTGTTTTTACATAGTTGTTAAAAAGATATTCGAAACAACAATTTTATTTTGGAATTAGCTTGCTTTATACGTTATGACCATAGAAACAGCTTTATTAGAGATACGTTCATCTAGTTTTGAAGTAGCTTCGAAGATCTAAAACAATTGCAAGCATAGAAAAAATGTTTTAAGAACATGCACAATTGTTTTTTTTTTTTATATATAGAGTATACGTGTTTTTTCTATATTAGTAGTAGTTTTTTTTTTTTTTTTTTTTTTTGCGACTTCTAGGAGAAACCATTGAAATAAACAGACATAACACAAAATTAGAAAAGTAGGGTAGTTAAATTTTTTGTTCATAGATCTGTATATGTATTTGTTTTTATAAATAGAATTAATTGATAATTTGAATACATATGAACTTACAAATTTACTTGTTTAGACAGTTTTAAGTATTATACCAGCAATTTGTGTTATATCAAAAACTATGGTCGTTCTGAAAAAACTTTGTAACTAGTTTAATATTCAACTAGTTTCCTTGCAATCGAAAGTTCTTTTGCAATCATGTGTTGTTGTGATCAAAAATAGAAATACCTATAAAAAGGTTACCATGCGGTATGATTCCTTATAGTTAACAGTTACTAAGAATTCAATTTACTGTACAATTGATTTTTAATGTCTTAAACTTTCAGATAAATGCATAAACAACGGTTATTTGTTACACCTGACAGTTTACACAGAGTTTTTGGTATGCAAACTAACCAACGATGATTTTCTTTATCATATAACTAGACATGTTTCGGCAAACTCTAAGGGAGAATCATTTATCACTTGTATATACTAAGATATGAATGTTGTTATGATAATCATGCAGTGACTGTCTGTGCAGAGTTCAAACTTTTGAGGCTATTGTTGCGTTACCCTGTCCATCATATTGTACAAATGTTCTCAGATGAGTTGTGCTGTTTATTCTTTATTTAGCTGTTAGAGGAAAGTAGCATATTCTCAAGTAGACAACGCCGAAAACCTTATCATTTTAGATTAAATCTTCCTTTATAACGAAGTTGACTAGGATTTTTTTACAAAAAATTGTAAAATTGTTTTATAGTTATTTGAAAAAGTCACAGAAGGTTTTCTTAAAAAAACTGTTTTGTTTTCCATAGTTGTGTCATAGTTTTTTTAATAATTTAAGCTATTTAAACTTTGTTATTCATTGTAAAAGTTACCGCTTATGTTTTTATTGATAAAGTTTTATTTTATATTCAAATCTGATAATATTTTTTCAAGAATGATATGCAGTATTTTTGTAGAAACTTAACTATTGTTTGGAAAAACTGCTACTCCTTCTGTGGCAATTTATGTTTGAATTAGATGCGGTTATTGCTCTCCTAAATACGACATTTCGTACACTTACTTTTACACTTAGTGATGAATTCATAATTTATAACATTCATTTAATTCCCTCCCCCCCTCGGTTATGGATGGCTTACCCAAAAACAAATATTACGAAGTATTTGTTAATATACAAATAAGTTTTTTTAACTAACTAATAAGGCCAGGACTTATTGGCATTGAAAACGTTTTAAAGATGTTATATTTTCGTTTTACTTGGTAGAAAAATGCTAACTTACCGTGCTGCTTTAGTTTTTGTAAAATAAATAAAATGAAATAAAAATTTATATTATGCTTAATGTATAGAACAATACATGTTTTTTTAGGTATGGATCTTTCTTAGGATATATCACTTTCAGTTCGCTACCATTAGTTTTTCATTATAATAGCAGAACAATAATTTATATTCTTTTAAACAAGACTTATGTATAGGTTGTCAGATATTTATAGACTATGTTGTATATTATATTTATATATAACAAAAACAAGCAATACGTTGATGTACATACACAAGCTCATATTTGAGTACAAAACCATGTGTTCTGTTTTATTTTCCTTTCACTTTTCCAGACCTACGCTACCTGTAAATTACAACAAATAACGTTAAAAGTTGTCATTTAGGCCAGGTTGAAAGAGGCCAGCCAGCGTCACTGACTTTGGTGCGATAAGAACGAGCCAATCCTTTAAACATTTTCATAAACCATTTAATTTTCTGCTTTACTTATTAATAATCATGCCACAGGACAATCAAGATTTTAACAATTAGGCCTAATATTTTTATATTTTGTCGTAACAGCTCTTAAAATGACAGTCAACTAGAAATTGAGAGTGAACACCAAAAACACACTCTATATATACTACAGTAATAGAAATATCTGTTTACAATGTGTTCACCAGATCAAGAAGGACGATCAATTAATATATATAGTGTTAGCCTATAGTTATTGAGACTATTAAGCCATTGATTAACGAAAACTTATAAAATGTTATAATCATAAATAGTACAATACACTAGTGTACCTATTGCTTTAAAATACACAATGCTACTATAGTTACAGGTTAGGTATTGTGTATATCATAAATGCTCACAAATTACCAAAAGTGGTGCAAGAGTTTAAGGATCAAAATAATGGTTAACAAAATGTTTAGTTTTTCAAGGATACATCATCCCTCCCAAAGGTTTCACATTAGATAATAAGATACCCCAGCCGCAGCAAACCTGCAGACTAAGCGAATTTCCATTTGCCTGATTGGATGTACACTAAAATGTCTCCTTAAAAATAGCACATTAATTCCTTATTTAAATATAATTACTTTAACGAGTACTTAGGTTTGCTGTAACAGGGAGGGATTTTTTTTATGTTAATAGTCTAGTAAGAAATAAATGCATTTTCTAAATTTGATTAAAATGTGTTTTTGGCCTCTAGGGACCTCATAACGAAAAATTAAACCGGTCCCGGGTCCAGGTCTTACCATGAGCACTACGGTAATAACTTATTCCCTATATGGGAAATTTGCAAAAAAATAAATATCTTAAAAAATATAACCAATTTTTTTCATTGATTGCTCACCTTTTCTGATACCTAATGGCTGAAAACCAAGTAAACTACTTCGGCTACGTTCTTCAGAGCACTTGGAAAATCAGAACCAGATAGTTGGTCAAAATTTGTTAGATAAGCCAACATATTATCCATGTCGCTTAACACTTTCAGTCTCAATTTGATAATATTTGTAGACAACGTTTTAAACTCCCTCTAAATTGAAATTTTTTTGTAAAACTGTTATTGATTAGGTTGTAATTCAAATTTTAAAAAGTGCATTACTAGAATGTCCCGCCAACAAGGCAAACATGTAGAATTAAAATTAATTTCCATTCTAGCTCCTGAGCTGTTGTATTCAATATAATAAATAGGTGACATACCTTATAAATCCGACAAACAGCTCATTTTAAATTGAAGGTCGAAACATGTAAACGACCTTCAATTTAAAATGAGCTGTTTGTCGGATTTATAAGGTATGTCACCTATTTATTATATTAAACATGTAGAGTAGATCAAGCCATTGTCAAACATGCGACCCAGTGTCAAGCGCATGCGCACGGGCACGTCAGGAGAAGCGAGCGACTCCCGGGTTGCCGTGGTGCATCCACCAGAGCAGGAACATGGCTGCATAAGTTGCTGGTACATGGGGGTAAGGCCCCTTGCGATGTATGGTGATCAGTCTAATGTATTTCAGTAAATAATCCGTTGCAGATATCACCTATCAAACTACTTTAACGTAATTTCCAATGTCACCTTTTAATATCAATAATTTGCTCAACCCTTAGTTCACGTTGTGTCCAGTTGTCTAATTAGTAATTTCTGCATATATTAAAAGACAATGCTATTTCTGTATTTAAAATGTTTTAATTAATATAAATAATCATCAAAACTGGCTTTTTGGGCTTTTGATTCATGGTAAATTGTCTCCTCTGGTTAAATTAAGTGGTTCAGTTGTCGTTTCAAGCACAGTGGTTTTGTCGTAACAGTCAATCAATCGCCAATGTCGTAGCTTAAAAGCCACAGAATAGTGTTACTCAACTTAAGGAATTTCAAATTTCATTTGTCCAACATTTACTTGAGTGAATACTCAACCGTACTGTTAAGTGGTTAAAAACTGACTTTAAATTAATGCCTGACCAGAAAAATCTCAAAAATCCACTAAGTACATATAATTTTTTTAGATCAAAGAACTGTTTGATGCTGGTTCATTTTCCAAACACAAAATATCTCCTTTTTAATTTAAAATCATTCCACACACTTTTTGTCGGTTTTAGAATATGTTTCAGTAAATAATTCCAGTATCAGGTCTAAAATTCAACTTAAACTCATCATTTGCAGGTTAATAACAAATCACAACAATCCAAGCAAGGTATGTAAAAGAGTACAACTATCTGTAAAGATAGATTAGTTTACAGAATGAAAAAGTCCATACAAAATAAAATATAAAAAAATAGTTTATAGGTCTAGTTGAAAGATCCAGTAAAATTATAAACTAATACAATACAGTAACCTACTACTGGATTCATAGTTAGTTTTCGTTCCATGGAGACCAAAAATTCAACTTTTTCTGTCTCCTAGAAACAAAATCATTTTCTTTTGAACATTCAACAGTAACAGATCAATTTTAAAATGTTCAACGTAAAAAGGTTAGTGTGTGGTTTAGGCGCTGTATCGATTTGGTGGTTAGTCTCCCGGAATCCTCCCCCACCACCACCACCACCAAGCGAGGAGGAGTTGAGGTTTTGGGTCCCGATCTGGACTCAGTGAAGAAGAAGAGAAGAGATTCAGTCCAGGGAATAGAAGAGAAAGGCCCTGGACTGGTGATGTGGGAATGCACTTGGGAAACTTATAGTGCTCAGAAATTTAAAGGAAGATTTGAAGGAAAACAACACGTGGGAGGTAGAACAGACTGTTCTGAAAGGAAGGCAGCATAATCTATGAAGAATTATTAGGTATCAAAACTTGTGTTTGGTGCTGCTGAAGGAAACATGATGATCACCTTTGCACTGTCAGTAACCAATGCTTCTCAACAAAAATAAAATACAATTCTATACCCAAACTGAATTTATGAGTTTTATATGCTAGTTTTTAAACTTAAAAAAAATATATTTAAAACTGGCGGAAATTGAAAAACAGAATGTTAAGGAAATTAAGAATATGATTAAAAATGACAACATACGTATTTGTTAGAATTATTTCCCCATTGATTTTTTTCAAGGCACGTACATTTTGCTAATGATATTCTAGTAC